ACTTCAACAAATCAAGTAGCATCACGGTTTGCAGTAAATAATTTCATGTCATAATTTCTAAATATAGTAACTGTAATCAGCTTTGGTCCAAGCAGGACTTTCTAATGATGAGGGATTTGTGTACATTCCTATTTTAGTTCAGTCCAAAGATATTTGTGATGTTATTTGGCTGAAAAACAAGTGTTTTTACAAAGCGTTAGGGACTCTTACTCTGCTCTGTGCACGGACAGGAGCTAGTCAGACGGAGAGCAGCAGCAAGGGGCCACCAGGCAAACGCCCGGAAGCAGCAGGACGAGAAGAGGTGGACAGTCCTTCAAGAAACACAACTATGAACAATTTGTATCACAGCACAGCACAGCATGCAAGGTGAAGAGTGGCAAGAAATACAACTAGGAAGACAAGCAACGGTCGTGACATGAAGAACTTGGTATCTAGTGTTAAGAAGCCTAACCTTTATCCTTTTGGCAATGGGGAGCTTTTGAAAGATTTTAGGCAGAGTAATGACATGGACAGATGTGATGAGCACACATTCTCTCAATCCAACGTCTGGTATGTATGCTGCTTAATAAACTCGCACTGTGACAGTATATGAAATCAAACCTTGGAATTAATGACAGAAGTTCAGTCATTCAGTGTGTCCACTGTTATGCTGGGAGCTGGAGGGCAAACTTGAACTAGAGTCTCTTTTGAAGGCGCTTTTTAAATCAAGATTTTAGTTCCAAATACATGCACTCAGATAGACACAGCAACATGACTGCTCAGTGTTATGAGGGATACTGTATACCAGACATATAAAAGGTGCTGAGGGAGTGCCTTTGCCTGGAGGAGTTAGGGAAGAGTGGGTGACGTCTGACTGGAGCCTTAAAGAACAACTTAGCGGTTTTTCCAGGCAGAGGGAATAGCGTGTACAAAGCCATGATAATACAGAAATGTATCAGGGAAAATTAACGTGTCAGCTAGTCAGTCAAAGATCATGTCTGCCCCAGAGAGGCAACACCCTTGGAGAATCTTTAAAACTAGAAATCCTTATTATTATTAATTTTGACCTTCAGAGGAGAACATACCTTAAATCTTTCTCTAAAAAGTTTTTCTTCTCTTTCCAATCTATTCTTTTCGAAGTTTTGCTTGAACTTGAAGAAATTCTTAGATGAGCTGGTAAGAAATAATGCAGGTAGGGTTAAGTGTACTATAATAAAAGTTTAAGCTTCCAAACCTATAAACTCATTCCATTTCAGGTTTAATTTTGTGTGTATCTGTGTACAGTTTTATATACAATCCTATGTATATGTACATACATATGGTACACTAGAGCAGATTGTTAAAGCAACTGAACAGGGTAAGTAATACTGATTGCTTTTCCCTACAATTAAAAAAAAGCTTTTTAAATAGCAGGATAAAGTCAAATTGGTTTAACATTGGTGTTTATGTTAAACAAGAAAATTCTCTGACTCAGACTTAGAAGCATAATTAACTTGTTCCAAAAGAAACTTCAAGAAACTTGTAAGTCTTCCCAGTCACCCTCAAACTGTAAGAGTAAATGGCGTGCATTTTGTGGTTTTCCAAACTTTCAGACCTAATTGGGGACTCAAATCTATGTGCCTCAAAGAGCTGTCCTGTCTGCTGAATGCTTTTAGAGAAGGATAGAACAAAGAAAAGTAAGCAAAATGCCACAAAGTGTGTGTGAAACTTTCGGCACCTAAAAGTCGATAACCCCACAGCAGAGGCTGATTCGACTCTTCCTTTCTTTTCCTCCGTCCTGCTCTTCACACAGGGGGTGGCTGCTGCTTTTCTGCAGGTTAATATAGTAACAGGAGGAAAAAAGTCACGCAAGTCCTGTCTGTCTGATTCAGAAGAGTCTCCTACGTCTGCTTCCTTCTGCCCTAGGTGGCCACATTTCACTTCTTGCCTGGAATACCTTCTTCCTGGTGCTTCTCCGTCCTCAAGTCCATCTGCATACCTGCCTCCAGAGCCGTCTTTCTATAATTTACCTGATCAGGTCACTGTCTGGCTTAAAACCTTTCAGTCTGTCCTTACTGCCTACAAGAGAAAGTCAAATTCTCCTGCATGGTACACAGGGCAGGTTACAACCTGCCCCCGATTGACCTTTGCAGCTGTCCTTTCACGTGCAGCCGTCTACAAGGAGCATCTCAGCAGGGCAGCTGTCATTTCCGTGCCTTTGTACCTGGGATGCCCTCCCCTGAACACCTACCATCTTGGATTAGTAAAGGAATAATAAAAGAGTTGAACTAATATAGAAAGTTTTTCTTACTTATTGGTAGAATAAGTTATGCTAGAAACCATTTAACAGGGAACACAGAACACACAGAAACTGATACGTCAGACCACGGGAATAATGGTAGACTCGATACTGCATTTTCACACTTACCACGTTTTAAAAGTACTCAGGTGAGTAAATCTTTTGGGGGGCCCCTGTTGGCCTTTTCTAGACAGGCTTCCCAGAGCAGACCGACCATACCGTGTTTCCCGCTCGTGGCTTTTAGACAAGGATTTCCCCCAAGACATTTGTTCAAGTACCTCAGCTCCTGCCCCATGTCCCAGCAGCTGAGGAGAAGACTGGAGCACAGGGCACTAAGTGACCATCAGAGACAGTGAAAAGCACCACCTTCCCCAAAGGCCAACTGGGATTTTGAATCACATGAATAAAGGTTAGATCGTGAGTCCATAAAACATTTTTTTATTTCTAACACTAATGTAGTGATAACCAGAATTAGACTGTATTTTAGGGAAATCAGTCTTACTATCTGATACCTAGTTTCTCTCCTTTAAGTTCTAATTAGTGTACTGTTTAAGTTCTACCTTGGAGGGGAAAAGTTCTTGTAACCTAGAAGAAGACTGGAAATTTTTCATCGTTTGAGAAAGCTGGCTAGAATTTTCTTGCTCCCTAGCCACCAACAGCGGGGAGGATAAAGATGTATCTGTGACACTTTACATTTTCATATTCTGTTTCTCTTTTAATCATCTTAGTTGTACTATAATGTAGGTGTTAATATTCTCATTGTGTAGATGAGGAACCTTAAAATCGAATCTGATAACCTGCCCAAGATCACACAGCTAGCAAGAGAGAGAAACTGCAGCAGAGAAGCTGTAATGTAAGTGTACCTGTGTGCTTACCTTTCTGATTCTTCAGCGCCTCTTCTCCCTTTTTTTTCCTTTGATATCAGAAACTTGGGCTTCCGAAGTTTTAGTTTATCTTCATTGCTGAGAAGAAAAATATTTTAAGCAAGTATATTAAGTTTGAACTAAAACATTTATGGAACCATTAGTACTTTCTGGGCAATGATGTTTTTACCAAAAAATTAAAAGGTCATCTAGAAGTATATTTTGATGATCTGTGGCAAGGCCAGATAGTAAATATTTCAGACTTGGCACATCATTTCATCTCCATGGTAACTACTCAGCTCTGCTACTGTCGCTGCATTTACAAAAACAAGTAGCTGGCCAGGTTTGGCCCACGGGCCATAGTTGGCTGATGCTTGATCCATTGTGATCCAAATTTGAAGCCAGAAGCAAGAGATCAACCTGCTTATGATCACACTTCCTCTTGTTTCTGAGCCTCAATTTCTTCAACTCTAAAATGCGAAGGATAAAATGGATCTTCACTGTGAGACAAGACTCATCCAATTAGTGTTTAGCATTAGCAGAAAAGAATTCAGAGAGCAGAGAGGCTATTAGAGAAGGGACGCCCGTTTTTGAGCACCTATGCATCAAGTCCTAGGCTAGGCATTTTACACGTTAACTAACGTGGTTTTTACAGTAAGCACTGTAACAGTCCTTTAAAGTAGCCTTTTTACAAAGTAGTAGTTTTACAAAGGGTGAACAGATGCCCTAGGGAACTTACCATGGTCACAGAAATAGTGGCTTTGAACCCAGTGGCTTTGAAGCCAAGTGTGTTTGACTCTTAAATCTATGGTTTTTTATCCTGCCTGCTGCTCCAAAACATTTCTTTGCTGCTATGACAAAGTTACCAATATGTTTATCACTGATGTGAGCAAGACAGGACGCTGCTGTGACAGCCATCTGTGTGTCGATGGTGCGTGCACATCAGAACACTTCAATAACTCTTCACTGGGTAAATTATAATCATAAGGATATTATGTCAAGAATCTGAAAGTTTTTCAGTGACACTGTGTCACCATTCCCTTCGGATGATGGTCACAGGTGTCCAACAGAGTATCAAGGACTCAGCATTCAACCAGCATTACAAAGATGCAGCTTAGACATATGGGGTTAACACACACAAACTACTGCACATGAAACAGGTAAGCAGTGGGATTCACCATACAGCACAAGAAATTATACTCGACACTTACAATAACCAACAATGGAATAGGATCAGAAAAAATAACCATCCTCATGCTGCGCACCTGAAACTAACAATATCGTAAGTCAACTCTGTGACAATAACGAAGATGCGGCATAGGAAAGGCTTTTAAGACGCCTTCCAGGCTTGTCTAGGGATCTCCGACCACCCTCTTTTCTCAGTATCTATTGTCTTTGGTGTCTGTAGCAAGGAACTCAGCAGTTACTTCTTTTCTAACTGATGTTCATGCATTTTTCTCTCCACTTTTAAGTTCCCAAAGGGTGGGATCCAGACAGACATTCCAGAAGTAGCTACCCCAAGCTCAGCACAACGCAAGGCATGCAGCAAGCGCTCACTGAGAACGTGTGTGTGGCCCTGGGTGGAGAGGAGCTACAGCTGTGAGGGCAGGGGACAGGCAAAGAAAACGCCTGCTTAAAATTTTGTTTTCTTACTGATTATAAAGAAATATACCCTGACTATTTTAAAAATTGGGAGTGGAACTAGAAAAGAGACAAACTAAGCATACCCTGACCTCCTGACCTCTCAAAGACATCCAAGTTTCCTGCTGAACGTTTTCTGAGAACTTAAAAAAGCTGAATTGAGATCAATACTGTGCAGGCATTTTGGATACATAATGCCGTGTTACTCTTGCAGAAAGGTCATACCAATTTACACTCGTGCTAGCCACGTGAACATTATGGTCAACTCTGCCTCTCTGTCAGCTTACTTTGGCTTTTCTAGGGATCTAGGTAGAGATCTTAACGCACTCAGCAGGATGAGGGTAGTTTTTTTTTGCCATATCACAGGTTAAGAAACTAAGATTCAGAGAAGTAAGAGGACACGCCATAGGTCCCACTGTACCAAGTTGCAGAAGCTGTTTGAGCGTCCTTTTCAAGATCCCCCTCTTCTTCCTTCCCTTGCTGACTCTAGGGGATGTTCTAATGAACAAAAGGAAATGGAATGAAAAGCAGACATCTGGATTATCTAGCAACAACCTGATCCAGGGCTGCTTACGCATCTCAGTCTAATACCTACCAAGACACGACATGCAAACTGTCCAAGCTTACAAGAGCTCAGAGATCATCTTCCATCTCACTTCTCATTCCAAATTCTGCTACTTTCCATCAGCGTTCCACCTGCTACAAATACCTTTAATAACAGAAGATTTACTCTATCACATGAAAAAGAAATTGGTCGGATTTTGATAGGGCCAAGTGCCTTGAAAAATACCATTTAATCATAAAATACCGTCTTCATTTATTTCACCACCCTAGAACACATTTTGATCATCTTTCACCTGGGCGATTTTAACGATACTCTAACAAGTGTTCTACGTCTGACCTTCCCTCCAGAGCATTCTGAAGAAGGGTCTAATTATTCTTCCTGACGTGTGGCTCTGAGTACATTGTCTTCTTGCCCATAGTTCCTGATGTCCTCATTTGGCAATAAGGCAATGAATTTTCTGAAAGGGCCCTCCCAGTACTAAACTACTAGATCCTGGATAAAAGGGTTTTTTTGTTTTATTTTGTTTTGTTTTAACAAATTGCTACACTTTACACTTAGATTAAATCCTGCACATAATACCTTAATAGCTGCCCCAGATAAACTGAAACCAGCCAGGGAGCAATAAGCAGTGTGCAAGCACGGAAGACAAGCCCGTCCTGAGAGAAGTGCTGGCAGCACCACAGTACAGAAGGCTGAACTTCAGGTCAAAGGCAAGGCAGGAGTTAAGACAGACTGTCATATTAGATTTCTTTAAAAGTCAAATTCAGCTCATGCTATTTATATGAGCCAGTGAACAAGAATATGGAAAACAAAATTAAAGGACCAAAAAATGTATAACGGGAAATATTAACTAAAAGAAAGGCCAAGTAGGTGTATAAGATTGGGCAAATCAGACTTGAAGACAAAGCATCACTAGGAAATTAGCTTAGTGCTGCAGTAAAGAGAATGGATTGGGAGTCCAGCTGCTGGGGTCTGAGTCCTGGTTCTACCACCTACAGGCTGTGTGAACTTAGGCAGATAACTTCTGTGTCTCAGCCTCTCTTCTGTAAAATCTGCATAATAGCATCTGCCTCACAATTGTGAGGGCTGAATGAGTTAATAGGTACTAAATCTATAAAACAGTGACTGACCCACAGTAAGAGCTACAGAAGTTACTATTTTTGTTACCAATAGTATTAAGGGGGATGGGAATGGCTACAACATAACAAATAAATTCAGTTCACTAGAAAGTATTTAAAACTTTGTATGCAGTGAATAAGAGAGACTTAGAATATATAAAGCAAAAACTGATAGAACTTTTGGAAGAAACTGACCAATCTGCCGCCTTTGTGTGAGATGTCAACCCATTTCTTTTACATACTGACTGACAAGCATCTAGAAATTCATAAATCTACAGAAGATTTTACTAAGAGAACGCATTTGGTTTAAAGGACATAAATTGATCCTTATATCAGTTAGAGAAGTCATATTTTTCTAAAGTACCCATGGAACATTTACACAAGTTGACCACAGCCTAGGCATGAGTCATGTCACAGAACGTATCAAGGTACTGGTATCAGCCACCTTCTCAGTGTACTACTGTCAGATCAGCTACTTTTCCAGAGCACAGTGCAATTAAGAAGCCAGTGACACTGGAATAGAAAGAATACAGAGCATGGAAACAGATCTTCAGATAGAAACTTAGCATGACAAAGATGGCACTGTAGATATGGGGAAAACAGGTGCTTTTTTAATTAATATTGCTAGGACATTTAGCCATACAGGAGAAAATTTAATTGGATTTCTACTTCAATAAAAATATAAAAATCAGTTCCAGATAGATCTAAGGTTTACATGTAAAAGGCAAAAAGTTACCAGTTTTAGAAGAAAATATGGGAGAATATCATATGACCTTGGGATAAGTTTCTTTAAAAGATATAGAAAGCAAGTCATAAAGGGCAAACTGGTCAATTCAAATACATTAAAATTAAGAATTTCTATTCATCAGAAGACTAGAAGGGAAGCTGAAGTAAGCTACAGAATAGGAGAAGATATTTGTAACACTTGTAACTGATAAAGGAATAGTATCTAGAATGCATTTTTTAAAAACTCATTATCTATAAATGAAAAAGAAAAAATAGAAGAAAAAGGTAGCCCAGTAGAAAAACAGGCAAAGGATATGAATGGGCGGGCCTTCCATTGAGAGACAGACATGAGGGGTGAACAAGCATTAAAAGAGGTTCATGTTGTTAGTGATGAAGTTAGTGC